AAAGTAATTCCAGAATAGAATTGAGATCTGCCACCCGTTAACACGAGCCTTCAGATGAAGGGGGATGGCGCGTGCGGTGGCACGCAACTGAGGCGTGTCAAAATGTTTCCAGGCCTTCTGCTCTGCTTTCTTCAGGGAATCAAAGTTTTGTGGGGCATTTATTTGCGCTTGCATCCAGGGTGTGAAATACAGAAATCTAGAGCTATTAGGTGGAAGGTTCCATTGTAACAATTCTTCGAAAGCAACGAACTCGAAAAATCGCTTTTTAGAGGATTTTTGCTTTATTCTTGGGTGCTCGGTCCTGTAAAAAGTCCCAAGTAGACTACTCAAGTGGCTTTCTATCCACTACAGATGTGGAGTCTTTAGAGTGTCTGGCTGGGTTTTCACATCAATTTTTTCATTTTGGGAGTACGAAAGTCGACAAGGGGAGACCTAGTTTCTGCATCTGATAATTGTCCTGGTGGTAACTGTAACTTTCGAGTCCTCCGAATTTTCCATCTGTGGTGGTTCCAAACTTATTGAAGAGTTGAACTGTTGCTCATAAGAGCTTCCCTGATTCGTTAGACTGCCGCTAGATGTAACGTGCCAGAGCCCCTAGTGAGTTCAATTTGAGGAAAGTGAATGTAGTTATTTCACTAGTTTTGAGAACTTGCATGAAATTTGGTTTCATTAGGAAGAAGACATTGTACCCTTTCACATAGTGCACAGAAAAGGAGATGAAAATGGAGCGACTCGAAAAAAGTGGATATGACCGCGCGCGCACGCGGTCCTCATAATTTCTGGACCACCCTGTAGAAGCTGTTCCATCGTTGTTCACATCTAAGTTATAATGAAAATCTGTTTCATTCACGTTCTTCCTGCTTTTCGGGGTGGTTAAAGCCATTGTGAAGTGGTCGCAAGTTTTGGGATTAGGCGTAAATTGTGAAAATTTTCGTTGCTTCACTTTGAGGACTTCGGAAATTTGAGTAGGGCTTCACAAGATATAGCCCCAAATTCAGGCCAATAATGTTCGCACGTGGTAGAGGCCCAGTTCGCACTCCATTAGACACTTCTCAGTTGCTACTTTATGAGTCTGATTGGGGTCTATTGTCCGACGGCAGGGCATCTGCTGACGCAATTGCTATTGACAAAAGAGAACATGTTAGAGCCTGTCATATATACTGAAGCTCTCCACCACAGACATGTCAAGAACTGTGACGTATTCTGAGAAACTGACCTATTTCTGCCCTACCTCTTTTTTCTTTTTTTCCACATCCAGAAAAAGTGGCGCACCACAAGATATCAGGCTTCCCCTAGGACTAAGCCTCGGCGGGGGGGGGGGCAGGAGCTACAAAAAAATCAAAATAACTCCGAGTCTTCCCTTCTACCACCGAGGCATTGTCCCTTTTTTGGCAGAAAACAATCATTTGACGCGGCTCTACTTTCTGCGTTATCATCTCTTGCGAGAATGCAAGGGCCTTATTTTGCTTGTTTTATTGTTTTGTTGTTTCTTCGAAGTTAGATAAATGTTGTTTCTTAACATGTTCTGGTTTGTTTGCTGTTAGAAAGCGTTGCTCTTTTTAACACGTTTTGTCTCGTTAGCAGGTTGCAGCAGCAGATGGCCTGCCTCGGACAGCAGACCCTCCGATCGCTCAGAGCAGGTTCTTCTTGAATGGGACCGAAATGAGCTTGCGGTCAGACATACCAAGATGTGTTTCTCCGAAGCGGAGCTTTGGCGGAAACACATCAAATCATATAGGCTGTGAGAGTGACCTCAAAAAAACTTGCGACTGTACGATGCCCCTTCTCGCTGAACAGAAACACTTTAAATTGATAGCAGCATTTGGGACCTCTCTTGCTACGATGTATTCAAATCGGTTCAGGTGTGAATATGTTACGCAACATTGCTTGTCGAAACCGCATCAGACACCAAAGATCGAATCGAGAACTACGCCAACTCAACTGTCACTACGCAAGCTAACGGATTTTTATCTTTCTAATTGTACGGCCAAGCTAATGAAAGGCTTGATTTCAAATACACAACTTTTCGATTGTTCCTTTTACTCGAATCGTTTTATGACTTCTATGTGATGGTTACAAATTTAGGAAGGCGATGTGAATGGATATCAATTGGGAGATATATCTAATGAAGTCGTAGAAGTGTGTGAGGTCTCGGAAAAAATCGCAGTGATTGATGTAGCGGAGTATAGAAAAAATTGAGACCGAAAAAAGAATTCTCAACATAATCTCCGTGGAAGAAGGTGAGTTTTCGTACACCGGCCGTTTACTTTTGTTGGGGACCTCACTAGTGACCTACGCGAAGATCTGTCGGGAAATGACTCGCGGCGCTATAGAAGACCAAGAAACTCAATCGAAAGCTTTCTTTGGCTGTTCCTTTTACTCGAGTCGTTTTATGACTCCTATGTGATGGTTACAAACTTAGGAAGGCGATGTGAATGGATATCAATTGGGAGATATATCTAATGAAGTCGTAGAAGTGTGTGAATTATCGCAAAAATATGAATTATCGCAAATAAAAATCGCAGGGATTGATGTAGCGGAGTATAGAAAAAATTGAGACCGAAAACCAAAAACAAACCAGGTTTCAAGAAGACCGAACATGGAATCTACTGACAAATGTACCGCCACACATATTCGGTCTGGTTCGAGAAGTTCTAGCTCTCCGACAAAAAGTTGTACTCACCCGTCAGTCGCTTCATTTCCTCCAACGCTGTAAGTCGACCGGCATTCTCCCGAAATTTCATTACAAATAAGAAGTTAGGATCAATATGTAATCTTGCGGAAAACCACCCTAGGATAATCAATATTTACCGTAGACTCCTAGGCGTCGTTATCAAAGCAAAAACATACATACATATTGCACTCCACCTTGCTTAAGTGTAATGCGAAGGAGGGGTCGTGCCGGCGACTGTTATCAGATCGTTGTTGGAGAACGATTGAGGATGGGTCGAAGGAGATTTGTAATTCTATCCGGTCTAGGAGTTAAACTAACTTAATGCGCCAAAAACAATGCTCTCAGTATGAGCAAGTTAAGGAGAGTTCCAGAGACAGGGTTACCTTGCCCGCAGACCACCAGCTCCAAGAAACAAACACTCATGAATATGAACAATCAAAGCCAGGCAAGAGCCACTGTAATTGGCAATGCTACCATTTCACGAAACGCTTTGGATTTTCTCAGTCTTGGACCATCGTTTTCGATTGCGCGGGGAATTGGACCTTCTACCTATCGCCAAGTAGTAACGGGGCTCCATAAATTAGAGATCAACTCAGAAGGAATGCGACAGCTTATGAATATGGAATCTGATCGATCAATGCTAGCGGCTTTTCCTTTCCCACGCTCGTTTTATAAAGAATCCAAACCTTTACCTGAAACAGACACCAAATTTCGAGTTCTCTCTTCGGGATACTTGAAATTTTCAACAGGCACAGGCGCGAAAGGTTTTCAAACATTACAAACGCACAGTGGGAAGGTTTCCAGGAGATTAGGGAACGCGTAGCAAACAATGAAATCCGTCTCTCCGTAGCGACAAAGGAGGAGAGTTCGTAGTTTCACCACGCACTCCAGATCGTGAAATTATCGTTATCAAGAAGTTATCATTTTCCCAAAGTTCATCACAAATAAGAAGTTTTGTCTAGCACGGCCACGGCCGATTTACTTTGCCTTGAACTTTTTTCTCCCTTGAATGCAATTAGAACTCGCTTTGTTTTAGTTTATCGTCCACCGTTTAACGTCCATCCAAATCACAAGAATCAGTTCAATTCGTTCACTCACCGGAGGCGGTCGTGCTCTCAGCAACTCCCATCCAGCTTACGTATCTGGGCATCTCTACAAGTTTATTTTCGACTTTTGTCAAGAAATTCAACATATTTCGTATTACTTTGCGATTCTGAAGCATGCCATCAAAAGCTTTTTCATCGAAAGAACAGAATTCAAAGAAAGTCGAGAGTACTCCTGCCAAAGGAAGTACACCGAAAGCCCATGACTCTTGCAGTAAGAAGTTTCCCCAAACCCCTACGGTTTCACTCCATCCACTTCAATCCAAAATAACGTAGGTATTAGCAGCACTACTCAAGCTAGTACTGCAAATTTCGAAAATATGACTGCCGCCACCCTCATTCAACACATTATTGAACAAAACCGCGATCCTCACATTAACCAAATGCTCATCGCTCTTTCTGAAAAGATTCCAAAAGAATATTCCGAATCTCTGGAAGCTGAAAAACGTTCTCGATCGATTGTGGTAGCAGGTCTTGATGATGAGCAGACAAATCTCCTTCCATCAGATCGACAAAAAGATCTAGAAAGCAAAGTTAGTAATATTCTTGACGTCCTTAACATAGAATGCCGTCCTATCAGAAGTATTTCGAATCGGCAAACCCGATCCGAAAAAGAAGCGTCTAGTCAAAGTTGTCTTTCCATCAAAATCACTGGTATAGAGCCCTTTCTAATGCACACTTTCTTCGAAATGCTGGTTCTAAGCATGTTTTCATTCGTAGAAGTAAAACGACTGAGGAAAGAAAACATGAGAACGAGTTACGACAACAAGCGTTTGAACGTAACAATAAAAGTGGTGTACGAGAATGGGTAGTTTATCGCGGGCAGTTGAGACGTAAATCAGAACTCCCTTACAGGAGGTTCGGGAAACCTCTGATTTTGCAAGGTGAATCTGCTTTAAGCTGTTTCTTATTGAATGCCCGTAGTTTAGTCAACAAAATTGATCATCTACAGTCGCTTTGTCACTAAACCCCTGATTTGTTATCTTATCCCTGAAACATGGCTCATTGAATCCATTCTTGACTCAGAGATCATTGGTAATTACCCATACTTTCTTTATCGTCTTGACCGCAAAAGCGAAAAGGTGGTGGAGTTTGCTGTTTGATAAAAGGCAATCTCCAAATCACTTCAGTTGATCGTCCATTGTCTAGCACGGCCACGGCCGATTTACTTTACCTTGAACTTGTCTCCCCCTTGAATGCAATCAGAACTCGCTTTGTTTTAGTTTACGTCCACCGAATTCCAAAAAAGATGAAGATGAGGAGCTGTTGAATGTAATGCGTGAACTAGCTGCAATGCAAAACAGCACTATACTCCTAGGAGACTTCAATCTTCTGATTGATTGGAAAAACGCACGTGCACTTTCTTCAACTTCCGCTTCTTTCTTGAATTTCTTTAATGAGGGATCATTTCATCAACATGTGCAACAACCGACCCATGGTAGTAATATTCTTGATATTATACTATCGACTTTCCCTGATGTGATAAATATCACTATTATCTCCGTTGGCCATGTCAGACCATGCAATTGTTAGATTCAACCTAGTGATTGGTATTGATAGATCTTACTCATTTCCTAAGCCCGACTTGAAAATCGACTTCTCAGCACTCAATTCACATTTATTGAACCAAGGATTCTGTCATAAGCTATATGAAGCACTATCAACGTTTGTCCCCATGAGATTCCCTAAGGCATTTTGCTTCAGATATCCTCCTCAAATTAAAAATCTTATTAACCAGAAGGAGCGCTTATTTCACGAATTAGAAAACCCTCTAAATAATTCACTATACGAAAAGGTCTGCTCCGATCTTGATTACATCTTAAAAAGATTTCTGGCCAATCATGAGCGTCGACTCGCTTCTCAGTCGTCGTTGAGACGGCTACACTTATATGTTAGAAGTAATCTCAAACCCAAGTCCTCCCTCCCAACCCTAACTGACCTACAAGGCTCACTACTTTTGAATGAAAATGCTAAAGCAGAAAGCCTTGCTCAGTACATTGCGAGCGTTTTTTCAAAAGTTAGCTCACAGAGTGAAACTTCAATGATCAAAGCCCATATTTCACGCAATTGTCCTGATATCTACTTCCACCCACATGAGGTCTGTACCATAATGAAGAAATTGAAACCTTCTCTGAGCGAACCAATTGATGGCATTCCTCAGATAGTATTCAA